CCAGAACCAGAACCAGAACCAGCCTCGTCCTGATCCAGAGCAAACCGTCCAGCAGCAGACCTGCGAGCTTCGGCCCGACAGAACCGTCCCTGTCAGCGGGGCGGTCCGTCGGTTCTGAGCGGCCCAGTGTGTCCCATGCAGAGATACAGACCCAGTCAAAGTCGCAGGAGTTCCCGTCCTCCCGCTGGGAGGCCAGATGGTCGCAGATTCCAGGCGTTTTCCGGACCGCCAGGAAGGCGACCGACATGAGCAGAGAGGCCACATAGTAAGGCTTCAGCAGCCATTTATAGACCTGCGGCAGGTGGTAGAGGAAGGCGAACAGCGGGGTGAGCAGAGCCATGCTAGAACAATGTTCCGACGGCCAGCACAACCCCCACAACCAAGGAAGCCGACACAAGAACCCGCTAGCCTGCTACCAAGGGGTCCGTTAGCCCTGGCTAGCGAATGCGGAGGCAACCGGAAGTTAATTCAAACACAGTGCTTCAAAATAAAAGCACACAGAGACCACGGGATGCTAAAAACTGAGGAACATTTTTGTACCAGAGATTTGATTTAGGAGCATAATCATCTAAACAAATCAAAACACGGTTTCCCGTTTGATGTAGTTAAATGAGAACGTTTCTGAAACTTGTAACTCCCGGTGGTTAACGGGCGGAGGGTTGACTCCTCTGTCAAATACAAGCACGCAAAAAGAGCAGAGAGGATGAAGAATTAAGGAGGTTTACGCATGAAAAACACGGCCCGTCTCTAATTGGTCAGACTGCTGAAGGTCGCTGCTGATTGGATAAAAGCCTAGCTAATCATCTTATGGGATGTTCTGAGAACAAGAGGATCTTTAGGATGGGAGCCAGGAGGATGCTGTTGGTGAAAATCATTGTTAGTATGCTGATAAATTACTATAATTATTATACATTTTTACTCCAATGGAAAATAAAGTTTACTTCAAATCACGTCCTTTTGTCCATTTATATTTTAGTTCATGTTTAATATTATTTTTGAACATCAGCTTTATATGTTGGTGGAACATATAATGTATAAGAGCTTTAAATATATGAATATATAAATATATAAATATGAACATTTATTATAGAGATTATAACTTTACTAAATGGACACAATTGTATATACCTGGATATACTGTATATATATTGCTTATTCTTAATGCACCTTTTTCCTCCCTGTTTGAACCTTCTGTAACTTCTATGCCAATGTGTGACGAGTGAATTTCTCTGCTGTGAGATCAATAAAGCTCATCTAATCTAATACCCTTTGAAGAACTATATATTTTATTTTAGGAATGTGGACCGAGCTGTCCAACCTCACTCAGGTTTATTTGCTCCTGCGAAGATTTTCTGCTATTGAATAAGAATTTAAACATCTGCACAGAACAGGAGCATATTTTAAAAATAATAA